AGCCCCCGCCGAAATTTCCAGGAAGGTGCTCAGCCTCCCCCGGGAGCCACCCTTGCTCCTAGCAAAGCAATGCCTCTGTCCCAGCCCCAGCCCCCCCCCCCGGGAAATTGGAAAGTCTACACCCTTGATTGGGAGCTGCTATTTCCCCCACAGTGGAAACTTACAGTACATGCAATTTCCCCCAAGGGGTAAATAATGGGTCCCTGACAATTCAAGTTAAGAAAGTGGCATGGGGGAAGGGAAGACTGAAGTGCCTTCTGCCCCCGCATCACAACCCTGATCTGAATCAGGCCCCCAACAGCCTAGGAGTTGAGTTTCCATCATGGGACTCCAGCCACACGTCTAATCCAAAGTCCTTGTGCTGGCTGTGTGCCCACATGTGGACTTTATAATGTCAGAATTAGCCTTGAGGCTTGTCTAGGTCATGCCCACCTTTGTCCATTAAAGGATGGTAAATAAGAAAATGTGTGCTAATAGCAGCATTTACCTAGAAAAGCTTCAAATCTGAACATTTTAATCAATTGAACCTGTACATTTCAGGAAGACTTGCATTTCTTAGATAGTTTTCATTTTGTATTTTTTGTATTAATTTTTTTTGGGGGGGAAGTCTGTAAGAGTTTCCTCAATTACATTTTCATAAAAATCTCATTTGCTGTTAATATTGTTCCCCCACTGTTTTTTGCTTGCTGTAATGGGGGGGGGGTAGTCAACTATACTAGAGCAATTTATAGCTACTCTTCTGTTCTATATTTTTCTCATTCTGTGAAATGTTTGTACTGTCTTAGCTATATTAAAGATTGAGAAAGTTATCTAGAACAAGCTAATTCAGTGGCCCTAGAAGAACAAATTGAACCTTTTGATGGCACTAGAAGAACAAATCAAACCCTTCATTCCATTAATTTCAGCAGATCTAGTTTTCTCTGGATTTTGCCTGTGGAGGTGAACAGTGAACTCCGCCGGAGGAAATAACTGTTATAAACAAATAAAGGAAAATGAGATTTTTGGATGCATTTTGTTGTACCAGTTGGCACTTCAAATAAATAAATAAAAATGCCTCTTTAGCCCTAAAAATGCAAACACTCAAAAAGGGACAAAGTTTAAAAATAGAAATCACAAGTGGGGGCATCTCATTTCCTCCTCCCCTACTATTTCTTCTTTCCCTTCTCTGGTAGTCCCATAGCCTCTCCCCTTCCTTCTCTCCTTCCCACCCACAAACCAACCTAACTTTATTTGCCCCTCCCCATCTTCAGATTTCCATCCTTCCCTCCCCTCGGCAGTGGGGAACCCGCAAAGATTTCTGGGAGATACCTTACTTTCCCCTGTATTCCCTCCCCACACTATTTCCTCCTGGCAGACCCCATATCCTCACCTTTCCTTGTATCCTTCTCTCCTTCCCACCCACCTACCAACCTAGATTTTATCTTCAGCTATATTTATTATTTATTTATATCCTGCATTTCTCTACAATTTATATCCTGCATTTCTCCACAATGGGGAACCAAAGCAGCTTACATCATTCTTGTCTCCTCCATTTTATCCTCACAGCAACCCTGGGAGGTAAATTAGGCTGAGACTGTGTGACTGGCCCAAAACTACACACTGGCTTTCATGGGACAACTGCAGTTGAACAAGAGCAAGCTGCCAGGCCTGGGTGAGGTAGCAAATCACTTGGTGGTTTCTGGTGGCCTGGTTCCGGTAAGTTCTCCCTCAGAGGACCTGGATAGCCCAGGCTAGCCTGATCTCATCAGATCTCAGAAGCTAAGCAGGGTTGGCCCTGGCCAGTATTTGGATGGGAGACCACCAAGGAATACCAAGGTCACTATGCAGAGGCAGGCAATGGCCAAACCACCTCTGTTAGCCTCTTGCCTTGAAAACCCTATGGAATCACCAAAAATCAGCTGCGACCTGATGGCACTTTCTACTTCCAACAACACAAGGATAATTATTATGAGGCATAAAAAGAAAATAATAACTGATGCCCTTGAAATATGTAGCTTGGTTACTATCTTTAACTCAGAATCTATCTAGCAGCAGTCCTCCAGACTTACCTAACACCTCTTTACCAACAAAATCTGAAATGGCACCACTGATGGTGATTTATGGTTAAATCCTGAATTTTATTCTCAGATAGCTACAGCGAAATGTGCCCAAATGAATTCCTTGTGGGCAGGCATTGTAAGTGGTACCTGAGAGCGCCCATTTCTTCCTTCAGTCATTTCTTTCTTTCTGTAGTGCGCCTGTTGAACAATGGCAGCAAGATATTAAAGATAATTCAAAAAGAACTTGACACATTGAACGCTTCTTTGCTAGAACCACTGATATGAAGCAGTTCACTGTGACCCAGATAGAGCTGTGGAGATGGAATGCTTCAGGATGGAGAACTGGAACATTACCAACAGTGAACAGAGAAGGGAACTTATTAATATAGGAAGAAAGAGGCATTGGGGTGGGTGGGGAATAATACTTAAAGTACTCTGCATGCTATCCTATGTTTTCATTTGAACCATCATTTCATTTTTGGATATTGTTGGAGGATTGGGTTTTATTTTTCTGTGAGTCTCCCAGAAAGCTTGCCAAAATCTGACTTCCTCATTAAAAGCTATAAGAAAGGCATCAGCTGGAAAGTCTTTCAGAAGTCATAGCCCAGATCCATCCTCACAGACAACACTTGATGCAGAGGGAAGAAATGAATTGTTACAGGAAACAAAGAAAAAAAGAGGTGTGTCTTATTCTGTAGTATATAATATGAAGACTGAACCATCTTTTTAACAATCAGAAGTGACATTCTCATGTAACAGAGATTACAGTGTAATCTATTACCTACACGGTCAATACATATACAACTTATTCATGTAGGCATTGATGTCACTTGGAGACCGCTTTCCCCACTGGGAATGAATGTGTTTAAGTTCACACTGTGTTACATGAAATCTCAGTAGTGATTAATCCATTATGCCTCATTCACACATGCAAATAATCCATTTGACATAGGGCTCAGCATGTGGATATGCACATGTAAACTGGTTTTCAGATATACGCTTCCACCCCAAGGGCATCTGCCAAACCTTTGCCAGTTGCTACAGCTTAGATGGAACACTGGGCACAGAGGAAGTGTCCCATTTGCTTCTATATGAAGCACACCTGGCATACGTAATGAGAAATCGAGGCAACTCCTCTGGAGATAGAGCTCTCTGTGCAATGGAGGATCACAGCTAATGTGATTTGGAGCATGTTGCAAATAATGGTTGGCCATGAATAATGTAACAAATGGAATATTTTTCACTCATTCTGCTATCAGTAGTTATTGCATGAGGATAGAATGAACAATGCACTAAGGATGAGAGATTCCACAGATATAAAATGGAGAGTACACCTGAACCAGGCCCATTACTATATTTCTTATTGTTCCATGTTGTGTCTGTCTTTCTATAAACTTTTAAAAAATGTATTTCCTTGTGAGGATGAAAGTTTTCTAATGACTAATTAGTATATATACCTATCTCTGTATCCTTAGAAGTGACAGCTGTGCCCTCATGAAAAAAAATGATTATTATTGTAGACAACTTTATTTTGGCTCTTCTTTCTGCTTTTCATGTAGTTAAACTCTGCAGCTGATAGGGCAGTCTAGGAATGGGAAGTTTGAATCCTATATCTACATATTCAGCAGAAAAAAACAATGGAAGAATTCAGTTTTACTCTTCTTGAAAAAAAAACATCCATAGCCCTGTTCTCTCCTCATTCTAACTGATCTTACAATTTGAACATTAGCAAAATTTAAGACCATTACAAGTGTATCTATAACCAAAAGTTTTGGTGAATGTGGCCAAACGTGTGGAGATACCTTATGCTTCAAAACAAGCCATATTCCAGTGAAGACAATCCAAAGGCTTGCAAACATGAGGGTTAAACCATAAGACTGTATAAAGCCAATGACTGAGATGAAAGAAATTTACATCTTGGCCCAGAACACAGAATGCCCTTCACAATGAAGGTCATTAGAGTGGCAGGTCATCATAATATGGGAACTAGAAAAGCTGCAGTTCGATCCTTCCATTTGCTTAGAGAGACACCATCTGGGTTTCTCCAGAGCTTGAACCCCCCCCCCCAGGCTTGTAGAAGTTATGGGCACTTTTGGAAGTTTGAGAAGGAGAGAGTGGGCAACACAACAAAATGACTGCCGTGGGGGCTGGATCCAATTAGAAAATGCTGGGTGGTTCCAAGCCAAGCATCTTCCTGTGATGAAGGCAACTGTTTCCAAAATGGATGCTTCCTGCAGACACAAAGCCTCCTGGGGCTGAAGCACCTCCTACTCCAGTTAAGTGGAGAAAAGCCAAGACTGGCTCTTTGCTTTGGGGGAGAAGTGCTTCAAGAAAGAAGCAAGTGGGCACCAGAATACAACTTTGGCAGACACCATGGTGCCCGCAAGCATCATGCTGGGGACCACTGTCCTAGAGTCATCTTGCATCACAAAGCTTCCATGGAGAATGTAGACTCTGGCGACGTATTTGGAAGGTACAGCTGCCCTTGTGTGATGAGATTTCTAGACTCCTGTAATGTGTTAACATTGATTTGAGCAACGTGGACCCTACTCCTGAATGTCTAGATCATCACCCTTGAATAGCAAAATAGCATAACCAGAAACAGGTGAAGGAAGAGTAGCATCTAGACACAACTGGGGCCTGAGGTCACAGAACCAGCTGAAGTAACAGTAATAGATATACGTTGAGGAAAGGCAAACGTTAAGAGGAAAGACTAACAGCCATCTACGTGCAGAGGCCCAATGCTGAGAACTCGGAGGACAGTCCTTTCCCGATACATTTGTGATCAGTTTCCACAAAACAGCTCTATGCACATACTGTACCAGCAGTGGACACTAAATAAGACAGATCCCCTCCCAACGAACCAGTAAGACATTATAAATAAAGGCATATAGACCCTATATGTAAATACTCTATTGGCAAAAGAACACACTGGAGCTGCCTCTGTCGACGGTGACTCTATTAACAGCCGCAATTGGGTTGCTGTGGAGGAGGGGTGTCCTTTAGTCTTGTGTTCTGTTTACCAGCAGCAATGGCAGGATCCGTCTCCAGACTTTCTGACATTTTGTCACAGATGATATCCACAAGCCGCTCGAATGTCTGCTTGACATTGATGTTATCCTTGGCACTTGTTTCAAAGAATTCAAAACCTAGTAAGAGAGACAGAAAGCACTGTAGTCAGTAAGCAGTATTTTGGTTTCTTTGAGCAGCAAGTCTGCGCTACATTTTGGAAATCAGATGGGGCAGACACGCAAGGGCAGAGGAGAGGAACGAGCAGAAGACCGGCAGGTTTCAGTTATGGCTGGTACACGAAGGGCTGGAGCTGAAAGACCAATCCTGAGGAGAGTTACACCCTTCTAAGTCCAATGAGCCCAGAAGGACGTAACTCTGTTTAGGATTGCACTGTTAACCCTTCAGGCTGGCTGGTCAAAAGTCTGGGACATCAGCTTTGCATGCAGTTTGGGGAAGGAAGACCCTTGGAACAGTTCCAAGGAGATTGAACTTGTTCATTCCTTTATAGCGAACCAGGATACCAAAAGTATTCAGGGAAGCAAATCCAGATTATACACATGGGCAGACTGGGAAGTTTAAGCAGTCCACAAGATGCCAGATGGAGCAGCCTTTGCAGTGAGGCAGAGACTACTCAGACCCAGTCAGCAGTGCCGATGACGGGCACCGGTTCAGTACTCCGTCTGCCCCTCATGATATGCAAGGATACAAGAAGCACTGCATTCTATTCATCTCTGTAGGGCCAAGAGGGAGATTCACCCCACAGATGTTTCTTTTAAGAGAGGTCACCAAACTACCCCACTTTCTTCTACAGTGAAAAAAGCACCTGTGATGCTCTTAAAAAGCCATCCACATTTTTTTTGATAATGCATTCCATACTGTTAATTCTGTATTGTCTGAGAAGTAGCTCCTTTTGTATCTCTACCAAACCATACTATCAGATGACCATAAACTCTGGTGTTTTGAGAAAGAGACAGAGAGAGACACCAATAATATCTCTTGTTAGGGTTCTCTAAAGCACAGTCCATAGGTGATTATGAAACACACAGGTCAAGATCTGAAAGCAAACACACATCCACAGTAGAGACACAGAAATACAACCTACTATTCAGGAGGGAATGAAAGACTCCATCAATTTAAGAGCATAAGAAGAGCCCTGCTGGATCAGATCAGTGGTCCATCTAGTCCAACATCCTGTTTCACACCAAGGCTGACTGGTTACTCTGGAGGCCTGAAGGGGTGTGTGCCAGAAGCTAGCCTCACCGAGTGTACAAAAAACCCTGGCACCGGCTTTGTTTCCACCACAACCAGGTTCAATCCCTTGCATCTCCAGTTAAAAGGATCAGGTAGGAGGTAATGTGAAAGACCTTAGCCTGAGACCCTGGAGGGCCACTGCTGATCCGAGCAGACAATACTGACTTTGATGGACCAAGGGTCTGATTCAATATAAGGCAGCTTCATGTGTGTGCGCGTTCATGTGTATAAGTGTAAACTGTAGATAATCTAGTATGGATCCTCCATCCTCATCTCTTCCGTGGTTCAACCTTCAATACCAGCACATGCACAGGGCACAAAATGTGTGAGAGCAGCTCAAAGAGAGCAGCTCATATGTGAAAACAGGCTCCATCGTGGGAGCCTTACATAGGAGGATTCAGGGGTCCTCTCGCTTCCATTTGGAGAGGTTTGTGGCAAGGCTGCCCCCTCAGTCCATTATTGTATGTGCATGTTGGGGTAGAGTCCCCCCCCGGGGCTTGATCCGGCGGTGGCGGGGAACAGGCCTCTGGGGCAGGGGTTTCCCCGCCCCCCGGGGGGACTTGGCAAGCCTAGTAGATTCAGTTAGAAAAGTACAGAGATTTAGCACAATTTACCTGCCAGAGATACTACGTGCTACAATGAGTGAGGAATGCCAAATCCTTATTCAGACCAGGGGAGAGGGAAAAGAATACTCAGTTTTTTGCTGAATCCTAACTCAGCATTAGACTCCTGTTTAATTTCACTGTTACAGAGTAACATGATTGCCCATTGGAAATTTTTTGCCACAAGAGTCTAGACATGAATTTATCTTTTCAAACATAAAACAAAAGTTCAGCGGCACCTTAAAGACTAACAACATTTATTTTAATGTGAGCTTTTGTGAATCACCACTCACATCGTCAGAGCAGTGACGCATGAATGCTCACACTGAAATAAATGCTGTTAGTCTTCAAGGTGCCACTGGACTTTTGTTTCATTTTGCGACAACAGACTAACACAGCTACCCCTTTGCATTGCATTCATTTTTGTTATATCCAGAAGTGGCATTGCCTTACTGGTACCATTAATCAGGTTTACATTCCTTCCTGTGTGCGTGTTTGGTAAACAACAAAATACAACCTTGATATAATAACAATATCTTTGTATTACCAAAGCTTAGCGTAACTCCTTTGCCTTTCCACGTACAATAAAAGTTTCTGTTTACAAAACATTTCACCAAACTTCAGAGGATGAATACAAGCCAATGAATACATTGATGCAAACAGTCCTACTTTGTGGTCCATTTTTCTTTTTTTCTCTTTTCCGTGTTATAGTTTTACATAGCACCTCCTGTGGTTTTCACAAGGGGACAGCTCAGACCCTGTTTCAATGCTTCATCAAGGCAGATCTTGCATAGAAAGATTTCTCCCGGTTTAAATATGCTATTGTTATTCATTATATAGACTCCCAGCTTGCTGCTGAATGCTGTCTTATTTATTAAACCATTGAGTAGTATTTGGTTCGCTAGACCATCAGCCTAGGGCCAAAACAGATGTGATGTCATCCTTGCGGCTGTCACAAGGACAACACCACCACTGTAAAGTCATTTTAAAATGCCGGGCAATTTTCTTGTCTCCCCTCCCTTTGCCTTTCCAAGTTCCAGAACAGCTGTGGTGTCTCTGTGTGTGGCTGCTAAGAAGAAGAAGAAATAGAAGAGGAGGAGGAGGAGGAGGAGGAAGAGATTGGATTTATACCCCCCCTTCACTACCCGAAGGAGTCTCAGAGTGGCTTACAATCTCCTTTCTCTTCCCTTCCCCACTACAGACACCCTGACCAATTCTGCAAAAGCAGTTGTTCCGCCCTCGGTCTCCCATTCCCCCTGGTTATACTGCTCAATTTCCCACTGTTTGCTGTGCAGCCACATTTTTACCCGCATCTCCCCCCAATTTTCCCCGTGTCAAGAAATTGGGTTGAGATGCAGATCAAAATGCAGCCGCACAGCAAATAGTGGGAAATTGAGCAGTAGAAGTGAGGGAAATGGGAGACAGAGGACGGAGCAACTGCTTTTGCGGAATCGGTCCCTGTGTGAGGTAGGTGGGGCTGAGAGAGCTCTTTCGAGGACTGCTCTTTGTTCGATTTATACCCTGCCCTCCCTGCCGAAGCAGGCTCAGGGTGGCTTACATAAAAGGTTAAAACAGTTAAAAAACATGACATTCATGAGACATTTATAAGGTGCTAATTATACATACAGGATGGTGAAAAACAGTTTCGTTATTAGTCATAGTGAGCAACAATCAGCAGTAATTATAGGACTGTTGTCCAAGTCCCATAATATGTTTCAGTTGTACTGGCGCAGCACAGGCTGCCAAGAGAACAGCTTTAAGAGAATTGTAACTGACCCAAGGTCACACCAGCAGCTGCATGTGGAGGAGTGGGGAATCAAACCCGGTTCTTCCAGATTAGAGTCCGTGCTCCAAACCATTACACCAAACTAGTTCTTTGGCACTTGATAAAGTCCACCAAGGGGGGAACAATAACCTCTCAGCCCACTGCACTGCGTGCCCGATCAGGAATGGGCCCTCACAGCATTTAGAATTACTTTAAAATGGTACCAAGAGTCTCGTGGTGGCCACAAGGCTACCGTCATGTCTAGTTTGCCCCCTAGTTAAATCCTGAGAGGTGGAGTGGCAAAAAAGGAACAAGTCAGATGATAACTGCAGGACTCAGAAGAACCAGAAGGGTGGAGTGGATGTGAAGCTGGATAAGGTAGCCACTGATGAACCTGGAGTGTTGTTGGAAAGCAAGAATGCATGAAGCTGCCAATGTTCCCTCTAAGCTGTGGAGTCTTGGAAGCCAAAATTCTACTTTGTGAGCTACTAGGATTAAAGTTGTGAGCCAGCAATTTGGCTACTGCATAAATTGGTTTGGTCTGGAGCCATCCTTCCTGAGCTAAGACAAAAATCTGTGAGCTGGAGGCTAAAAAACTGTGAGCTAGCTCACACTAACTCACCTTAGAGGGAACACTGGAAGCTGCCTACTGTTGAATCAGACAATTGGACTACCAAGGTCAGTATTGTCTTCTCTGATGGGCAGCAGCTCTGCAGGGTTGCAACCAGAGGTCCTTCGCATCACCTCCTATCTGATCCTTTTAGCTGGAGATGCCAGGGATTAAACCTGGGATCTTCTTCACACAAAGCAGATGCTCTCTACCACTAAGCCATGGCCCTTCCCAAGAATTTGCCTCCTTCATTGATATTTTATTTGTTGCATCTTTATCACATGCTCTATTGTTTCTGAAGACACCATTGCATCATGGTTCGAAAAAGAAAGTTATTTTGAAATGCCATTGATCAGTGACTACTTCTGCTGAGGGGAAGAGCTTACCTTACCTCTTTAGACCCAACGTGGCTCAGCCCCTAGACTCCACTGTGGCTGGAGTTCTGAGCAACTAGGCAACTAGCCAGCGAGAGTTTCTTCTCAGTGCACAGGCACAGGAGTCCAATGAAATAATTTGTTGCAGCATTCTTAGACAAAGACCCACTTCCCTCTGTGTCTGACAAAGAGGGATCTTGCTTTAGAAAGCTCACATATTACAACTTGGATAGTTAGTGTGGGTTGTGGCTTGGGTACCCCCCTGTTTTGGGAGCCATTCTGCCACAAATTATTATCGTATGTGTGTGTGGCCATGTATAAGCTGGCTGGAAGACCAGCAAAAAATCTTTGTGAGCTGCAAAATGGCAGCAGAGCACAGGATGTGTGGCTGCGAGTCCCAGACTGAATCCTGGTGTCTCCATTGATAAAGACAGAAGGTATCAGGAAAAGGCTTTCTGCCCCTGAGACCGTCAACTCTGATTAGGCAGTACTTAGCTGTATGAAGGAATGGTCCAACTCAGTATATCTGTAAGGTTGTTTGCATTCCTGTTTCTTGAAGCTCAGCTGCTGCTGTGGCTGCCGCCGCCGCCGCCTGTACCCTGTCTGGATTCTTATTTTCTATTAATTGGCTCCCTCTACTGGTCTGATCACCCAATTTCTACACCAAAATCTGCATGGTATGAAAGAATCCATATTTTAACCAACTAGATGCTTTTAATCTTGGTGTAGTAAAAGTGAAGAGAAACAGATTTGTGTGAAACAAACCGACATTCTCCAAAGGCACGGAGAAAATCACAGTGCAGGCAAGCCTTAATCTTAAATTTCACCCCACTGCCCCTTTTAGGTGAGTTGAGCAAAACACCATTGCTTTGCAAAACTATTCCTGATTTAGGTATGCCTGTCTTAACCTAGGAAAGCCATCAGCTTTACTTGTTGTTGCCATATATTTCTTTATGATAACTGGCAAGTCATCTTATCCAAATTCTCATACTATGGCAGTAAAGTCCTGGAACACGGTAAACAATCTTTATTTTATTATTATTATTTAAAAATTCTCTTCTTACCAAGTTGTTCTGCTAAATGCTTCCCTCTGTCAGCAGAGACTACCCGTTCTTCTTCCATGTCACATTTATTACCGACCAAAATAACCTGGGCATTATCCCAAGAGTAAGTTTTTATTTGGGTTGACCTTGAGAGAGAGAGAGACAGAGAAAAAAACAGTCAGACACAGAGCAGGATAACAGGGCTGGCTTTACCATTAGGCAAGGGTGATGTGGCCAATCTCTGGAAGCAGAACTGGGAATACTATTAAAGAACATCAAAAAATTTGATGATTTAGTTCTTTTAAATTATATTTTACCATTTGGACTTTCTGTCTCGGGAACCAGAATGTCTTTGGCCCACTCTCCCAGGCAGTCTGTTGCTGAGACCAGGTTTGGTTGTGCGTCATAGGTTGGTTTGCCAAATTCCAGACTACAAAGTTCCCCTGGAGCAAATTGCTTTTTTGGAGGATGGACTCTATGGCATTATATCCCATGGAGGTATTATATCCCCCCCTTCTCCAAACCCCACCCTCCCCCGGCTCCTCCTCCAAGTCTCCAGGAATTTCTCAGCCCAGAGTTAGCAGCCCTATGGCCTCTCATCTTAAGAGTCTGTATCCATTCACAGTAACTGAACTGTGTGCACACTGAAGATGGAAGCAGCTGGTTGTTAGTATTTATGTGTAATGGGAACCACTTCTGCCTCTAGTACTGGCAAGTGAAGCAACCACATCCTCCACCCCTTTTGTTTGACCACAGATGTTACCAGGTCCAGCATTCAGGACTGGCTGTGGCTCAGCGACACGGCATCTGCTCTGTACGCTGAAGGCCCCAGGTTGCAGCCCAGCTTTTCTAGTTGAAATAATAAGATATAGTAGGAGATCTGAAAGGAATCCAGTAGCAGGTGGTATGAAAGACCTCTGTCTGAGACTCAGGGGAGTCACGTCCAGTCTGAATCAACAACACTGTCCTTGCTAGGCCAATGGCCTGATTAAGTATAAGGAAGTTTCATGTCCGTGTTCAGGAGTGGCTACCATGCCTAAGAGTAACATAAAAACTGGTACTCCAGCACTGCATAAACACCAGCACAGCATCTCTTGTGGGCATCTGCTCTGGTGTCCCCCAGTATGGTATTGCTTTTGCCTTCCAATCTGCTAGTAATACAGACTATGCTGAGAAGGCCAGGAAATATGCAGTTAATTTTGCTAGACTGTTTATCCCTTTGCTAGTAATTTCCTGGAATCCAGGAAACACCAGAAGTTATTTGACGGTGGCTGTTTCGATTACCTGGGAGACAAAAATTTGCAAGAATAGCATAAGCCAGATGGTTGTCACTGGGGATCGAAGGAACTGTCACAAACACTTGTGTGTACTTTCCCAGGATGTTAGAAGGCCTGGAGCAGTGCAGCAGCTCCCCTGGCCAGAGATCCTGAGATGGCTATTTATTTATTTATTTACAGTTTGCCATCCTCACTGAGACTCAAGGTGGATTGAACAGTGTGAGCCAATGCAATCAATAGGACTAGGCATTTAATAAGCAATGTAGTAGGACTAGGAATATAGCAGTCTGAAACAAAGCATAAGTATTACATGTTGTATGTTAATGCAGAAAATGGTGCTGTGTAAGTATAAAAACAAAGCATGGAGAGTAGGATATTGCATACAGCAAATAGATAACACATATTACACAGTGGTATAGTTCACAGTCCTGTTTCTTTTAGAAAAAGCACCTTCACAAACCAGTTTTAGTATAACCCTATTGCCTTTATATAACCCCCCTCCCCAAAGAATACTTGTTTTACATAGTTTGCGGAATGACAGAAGTGTGGGAGCCTTTCTGACTTCCTCAAGCAAGCTGTTCCACAAGGTGGGGGCCACAAAAGAGAATGCACATGTACACACCACTGAAGATCTCGCTCATTTGTAGGATGGCCCCTCATTTGTAGAGAAGGCCCTGTTCATTTGAATGAAGTGGTCCTGGGGGTGAAGTGGTCCTGTAGATATGAGGGTCCAAGGTCAGGAAGGGCTTTCTATGTGGATAGCCAGTATCTTGAATTGATCCCGGTAACTGATAGGAAACCAGTGGAGTGATGGGCAGTCCCTTAGAAACCTACTTGACCACTGTGGTCATTTTCTGAGGTCCTGCTTTGAGTGTCCCCAACCTTCTGAGTTTGGTTGGGTGGCAACCTGGGAGAGGGCCTTCTCAGTCATGGCACCAAAGCTCTGGCACCCTCTCATCTGTCCCCTTCTGTTACTATCTTCCACCAGCGGGTGACAACTTTTTTGTTTTGTCTGACATTCCTTCAGTAATCCTTTCTTCCTTCCCTATGTTTCAAATGCTGTTTTAAAATGTTTTTGTACGTGTGTTTTAAATGCTATTTTTAAATGCTTTTGTATGTGTATTTTGTATGCTGGAGAAAACTCTTGAGAGTCCCTTGGACTTCAAGGAGATCAAATCAGTCAATTCTGAAAGAAATCAACTCTGACTGTTCCCTGGAAGGCCAGATACTGAAGCTGAAGCTCCAATACTTTGGCCACCAAATGAGAAAGGTGCACTCACTGGAGAAGACCCTGATGCGGGAAAGATTGAGGGTAACAGAAGAAGGGGATGGCAAAGGATGAGATGGTTAGACAGTGTTATTGAGGCAACGAACATGAAGTTGAGCAAACTCCAGAGGATGAGGACAGGAGGGCCTGGCGTGATGTGGTCCATGGGGTCGCGAAGAGTCGGACTCGACTGTGCGACTGAACAACAACAACAACAAAATGTTTATTTTAGGTCTGTGTATGTGTTTTCATAGTTCTAATGATATGCTTTTGGCTTTAATCATTTGTAAGAAGATTTCTTATTATTTATGTTTTTAATCAGTCAACTCGATGGTCCTGATGAAGGTAGAAAAGAAGGGTATACATTATGTAAATAAATAAAAGAAACAATAGCATGGGGGATAGGACTGTGCTCCAGGGAACTCCAAGGGATAAGTGCCACACTTATGACAACTGGACTCTGAGATATCAAAGGCTGTTGATAAATCCAGTAGGAGCGACAAAGAGGCATAGCCTCTTTCTCAAACAGAGACCATCACCTAAAACCATCAACACCATCTCCATCTCATTGCCCAGTCTGGAAAAGGTCCAGAGCAAAAGAGTATTGCAAGAAGTCCCAGAGATGATGCTTCACTACAATCTCAATCACATTGGCCAGAAAGGGCAGACTGGAGACTAAACAATAATTGGCCATATCATTTTTGTGTAGTGATAAGTTTTTTAAGTAGTGGATGGACCAAGGGAAGTAGCCAAGGGAAGACCTCCCTGAGTCTTTGAGTAGCCAAGGGAAGACATCCCTGAGTCAGTGATTGGTTTATGATGGTCACCAAGGACTCATTAACGTAGTCCTTGCATGATTTTATCCACCAGGATAGAAAAGGATCCAGAGCACAAGAGGTGGCCTTTGCAGATCCCAAGATCCTGTCAACATCTGTCATGGTGACTGGGTCAAAACGGTCCTCAAATAGGCCGGACAGTGCATTACACATTTCCATTGTATGGGCTATTGTACCAGCATCCAAACTGGAAGATACACAAGAGATTTTACCAGGAAAAAAATGTGTGACAGCATCCCAACTAATTACCTGTTCCTTTGGCAATAAAGGCACAGGTTTAGGAGTTAGCAGATGCCAAGATAGCTTAAACAACTGGGATGATCATGAACTAGTTGATGCACTGGTAGCAGAGAAGTAACATTTCTATGCTGCTGCCACCATTGCTTCATAGACTTTTCAAAGAGTTCTATAACACATTGGGTGCGTTCAGACGGGGCGTTTCAGCTGGCATAAACTGTACCGGTTGGAACCGGTGCAGTTTATGCCGGCTGAAACGCGATCACACTTACCTCCCTCACAACAGAGCCAATCACTGTATGCCCGTTTACATGCTGCGGGCGTCGGCAGTTTTTTTTTTTTAAAAAAAAACTCAATTTGAGCATGCGCATAGGCAGCCATCCACAGAATGGCGATCTTTGCGCATGCCCAAAACACCCCGTATTACATTTAAAGTTTAAAGGTAAGGACTTACCTTTAAAGTTTAAAGCCCAAACTGGCCTTCCTGAAGTCCCGGACTCCTCTGGAAAGTTAAACTATGGGCCTTTTCTTTTTTTAAAAAACAAACGCCGAGGCGAAGCTTCGCCCAAGCACATATTGGCAACCTTAAAAAAAATGGTGGGCAAAAATCGGAAGCCTTGGGCTTCCGAACGGAAGTGGCTAGACACCGGTGGAGAGCGATCAGACGAGGGTAAACCGATTACAACCGTTGTTCTCAGGATACCACCACTTGGGGACCTAGTGGCAGAGTACAACGGTTTAAAGGGCTTTGCAACAGTTAGGGACGGAAGGCAGATGTTCTACGTGTGAACGCCGGTAAGTACACCGATTGCAACCAGCACCTATACCATTGCAAACACCGCGTCTGAACGCACCCACTGTGTCAAATGTGGTGGGGAGCTCGCCCTCACTGGCCGTCTTTAAGCAGCAGCCGGACAAACACTTGTCAGGGATGCTCTAGGCTGATCCTGCATTGAGTAGGGGGGTTGGACTAGATTGCCTGTATGGCCCAACTCCAAGATTCTATGATTCTATGAACACAAATTTTCTGTAAGCATCACTCAAGACATTTCTCAGCCTTCTTCAGGTCAACCAGTTCTGTGGCAAACTACAGGGCCAGGTCCCACCTCAAGGATGGGAGACCCTTTTTGATCGCTTCTAGGCACTTCTCATCCCAAACTCCCACTGCAGCCTCAACAGAGATGACAAGGAAGCAGGAGAATAGTTTGCACTTATTAGCCTAATTCTTTTGTTTTCCAGGACAGTTTAGGATTTATTTAGGAAGTTGGTGTAGCATTGTGGTTAAGACAGTGAGGTCTACTCCAAGAGACCCTTGGTTTGAATTTTGCCTCAGCTACAAATTCATTGCCCTCCTAAGCAGAGTTACGTCCTTCTAAGCCCACTGAAGTCAATGGTCTTAGAAAGGCAGGACTCTACTTAGGATGGCACTGTAAGTGGCATTGCACATATTGCCTCTTCTCTGCCTCTCGTAACTACAATATGGAAATAATACTGGCCCACTTTATGGGGTTGTTGCCAAGGATTACACC